AGGATTCAGTCAGTAATCCATCTCTCTCTATCTCCACCTTCCTAGATTACTTTTTAGAATTTCAACTCTCTCCCACAATGTCATTGTGTGGTTGTGTGTTAATGCATGCATGCAGTGCAATTGCTGAGCTTTTTTCTAAATTACTTATCTTCATGGGATCAATCATTCTAACCTTAGCTAAATTCTTATTTTCCGACAATCTGACTAACGTAAGGCCCTACGTAGGATTCTTAATAAAGCAGAAATTAGGCTGGCATTTAAAACCTACAAACTCACTCAGGCAGGACAAGCTTTGTGAGTTAAAGGACTTTATCGGTTGACCCAATTAAAGAAAATAATATAATTTAAAAAATACCTTGAAATGACTGTGAGTTAAGTGAACTACATAGGTCAAACAAGTAGATCAGGAGTAGTGAGGTTATCAGAACATAAAAATTTAGCTAAGCTTAGAATGATTGATCCCATGAAGATAAGTAATTTAGAAAAAACTCAGTAATTGCACTGCATGCATTCATTAACACACAACTAGACAATGGTGTGGGTGGGGGAGTCAAAATTCTAAAAAGTAATATAGGTAGGTGGAATCCTGCCCGGTTCATCGAGTCTACACCCAATACAACACATGCAACAGAAATGACTCAATGCAAATACCAGAGATGTGTGTGGAAGATATTATTACTACCAACAAAATCAGAGGATAATAAATAACGTTAAAATGTATTCAATTCACATTATAACATTCTAACAATTAACTTATTATGACTATAAAAACACTCGTCTTATTTCCTATCTAATTGTAATTGATCAATAACACTCATATTATTATTTCTGAATGTACATTATCCCATATTGATTTTTTTCAAATGTCTAATCATCAGTTTTTACTCATGTATATAAATAAAGCAAGAAGGCTGTGTGAGTGGCAATGATCAATTGTGCTCGAAACGTGGTCATCAGTAAATACTACTGTATAACACCACTGTGTGTAATTTTATCAAAATAACGTTTTATCCATAATGGAGTTATACTCTACCACCAGCACAGTGCCCAAGTTTTATACTTCTGTGGTGAGAGCTGTCTACTAGCCAAATTGGTAGACAGTAATTTACGTCAATATTTACGTTCCCAAGATTTGTCGTGAGAAAATGTGAACAAAGATTGATTCAAAACCAACCACAGCAGACTTTGCGTAGGCGGATGCAGTTAACATATAGATGATTTGACATTCAAGAAACAGTCACAAATAGGTGAAAGATTAACTTTACGTGAGAAACAACCAATCGGAAGACTGTGTTTGTTTGCTTAAATATCCATAGTAATGTACATGAAAACGTATATAAATATGCGTTGATTTCCTTAATAAATGATCTGTTGGCCTGACTCTTGCCTTCTGTCGTTACACTTCTATCAGACGGAACATTTTCTTAGAAATCAACAAGATAGATCAGATGATAGAACTACTCCATGGTATCTAATGCTTGACTTAGTTTCTTTCTATTTCAGTGCCCTCCTCTATGCTACGAGCATCTTGCGAAGGAACCTAGTTGTTGTAGATCATCTTCATGTCTAAAGGTGTAAAGTTAACTGTCTGACACATTTAGAGAAGCATTTAAGGTAAAACTATTTGGCTGATGATAGATATATGTGACAAAAAGCTATTCACTTTAAAACAGTCAAATCACAAGGTAACCGACAACGGGACAGTCAGTCAGATCATCTTCAGCGTATTTATAACAAAATTGATATCATCCGAAAAAGAAAGGAAAAACAAGACGAGAGAGAGAGGGAACAGCACCTAGAGGGACTCCAGCTTCAGTAACCAAGTTTCTCACTTATCGTCTTAACGGAGTGGGGTGGGATGGGGTGGAGTTAAATCGAACTTGGAGACATGGTTGGCAAGAGAGCCGGATGCACTCCACCTACCACTACCACCAATGAGAACGACAGACGCACGCACGTACACACACACATACGGTGACAGTCAAGTCGCCGGATAGCGCATACATAGAAATCAAATTCGGTATGTAATACAAATAAATAAATAAAAATTTAAGGATAGTACGGTATATAAAAATAAAAACATCAATAAATAGCAGTAGTAGTAGTAGTATAGAGCAGTGTAGAAATGAAATGAGAGTGAGTTGAGTACACGATAGATAGATAATAGAGTATAAACAAAACAGTGTGGGATTGGGGATGATAATATACGGTGTTATACAAAACTCTAGTAGTAGTAGTAGTAGCAGTAGTAGTTAGTAGGAAAGGTAGGCGGGGGCGGGGACGGGACGAGTGGGAGAACACAGACTATCTTCTCTACTTAAATATGATGCACGACTACGGTTACTACGACGAGAAGAGTCAGTCAGTTAGTCAAAGAGGAGGAGAGCAAACAGTTTTCTTTCTTCTTTAAATCTCTCCAAAAAGAATAAGTTAGACAGACACACATAAAACTTCTCTTTTGCTAGCAGGTGACGCCTCCCTCACTCTCTCTCTCTCTCTCTTCATCATCATCCGTGTTTAATAGAGAGTGAGAGAGAAGTTAGAAGCAGTTAGTTATACTGTAACTATCATAGATAGATGATAATAAAGGACATATTTTTGTGTGTATTACCATCACATTGAGGGAGAGAGAGATGATAGGGATACATGGATTGAAAATAGGTCAATTAAGCAAAGGTGAAATAATCCAATTGTCTATCGTTTCCCCGTGCGCGCTTAGGTACATCACATCACACCATCCACACATACATACATACGTTTTGCGACATACAATAAATACATGCAGTGATACATATATATGTGTAGTTATGATTGTCTTCAAAACTTGACTGCTATATTCATTCACATTCACTCTCTATATATGAATGCTACAAAAACCGAAATTCGATATCATCAATTAATGAGATGAAAGTGACCTTGACGGGAGAGAGAGGACAGAAAGACTGAGAGGCAAAAAACCAAAGACTCCCAATCCTGTTTCAAATCCTCTACTGATATAGAGAGATAGATACATGGATGGTAGATATACAACATAGGCAGGTAGGTAGGTGTAGCTATGTAGATATAGCTAATGGTAATATTCACACACACACACACGCTTGAATTCAACCAGTCTCACATACACACACACAAAGAAACTGTATCCGTGTATGATTAGTAATAAAATAATAACAATAATAAGTAATGAAGTATTCCGTTTAGAAAGGGAAGAGAAAACCAAAAAAAATAATGAGGGATAAAAACGGGAGAAATTTTACTTTAGCAGAGAGAAGAGAGAGAGAAGAAAGAGAAAAAATCAAAAAATAGAAATAACTGTAGAGTATGACAATTCAACTAATGAGAAATTTATTAGTGTATGTACTGTATGTATTGAAGGGTAAAAATTAAATTAAAATAGATGATGGACAATGGGTAGTAGGCTTGAATTAATTAAAGCAATACAAGAGAGATAATGGACTAAAAGACCAACTTGACTGATTGGTGGGTTTCAACACAGAACTAAATTTGTGCAGATGTGCATGACACTTTTCGAGTTGCCAGTCTACTCACATGTAGAACACAAAGCAAGAGAACACTGTAGTGAGAGACACATTCAAAAGACCGATAATAAACACAAGTGTGAGTGATGGGAAAAACAACAGAAATATGGAAGAACAATAGAGTTTGATTGGATATGACTGACAACGATCACTTTGAACCATATCACCACCAATTTTCTCCAGCTGTCATTGATTCTTACCATCCTATGGGCTCCAACCACTTAGGCAGTCTACAACTCTCTACGTGGCTGTCTCAAACTGTTCTGTTTGACCAGCACTACTAGCTCTTTTCCAGACTCATCCAATGTCGGTCAGCTAACACTGACCGTCGAGGAAGGCGATCGATGGTTCAACATGCGTGACACGTTTTAATCTTCTCAATCGAAGTAGCTTCTTCACAACCTAATTGATCGACTTTCCCCTCCTCCTTACCTAACACTCGACCGAAGCTTAACCTCAATATTGTCCACCTTATTATACCAATTAACATGGTAGATAGAACGCCTACACCTATGATCAAAGACAGCTAGCTAATAGTTTTATGTTTTCCACTTTCAATGACCATGTCTCACGGTCAGCCATAAAGGGGCACAAAACGAACTGCTGAGCGGTACACACAACACGTCCTTAGGTCGATGGCCAGCCATCCGGATATCATGTCTACTAAGCCAGAGATGGCGTATATTGGCAAATGACAAATGAGCCTCTTGTGTCCATGTTGAGATTTCATCAGCAATCACTCCACTGAGGCTAATGCAACTTCCCAAATAAGTGAAGTGTCCAACACGCTCCGCCACCTCACTGCCTGTCTCTAAGTTAGGAATGGGTCAATGTGGTCCAGTCCTGTAGCATCATCTTATATTTGACAAGGGGAGCGAAGCGCATGCCAAACATTCGAAGATTGCTGCTCAGCTCAAGATGTTTAGTGCCCTTAGTTCCAAACGCCAAAACGTTGTCCACTAGACCACTTGGGCCACGACAGCTACTGAGTTCGAACCTCGGTGGGGACATCATCACTCACCGGGAAATGCAGGTACATCCAGTGACGAGTCCCAAATAGGACGAAATGCGCATCCTGGATTCCACTGCTAGTCACCATCCACAAATTAAATTTTAGCTCATCTCTGATAAAATAACCTTTAACCTCAAAAACTCGACCTTATCCCTTCATGAGTCGGTGGGGCACAGCGTTTAGGGCTCTCGCCAACCATGCACACACGGTCCGGGGTTCGATCCCCAGAGGCCGACGCACACTCGATATCACATGCCTGAAAATTCCATACTTGTGTATCAAAAATATTGTGTAAAGTCAAGCTGTAATAAAAAATAAAATAATAATAATAATCCAACCATTAGCCTCACTCAACTCAACTCAACTCTGGACGTCTAAGAAGCAGGTAAATCAAAATTGGTATAAACAGCATAAACAACAATAATAATTACACAAAAGTCACTACTTACTGAATAGTGCATTACACAAGAATCATTCGGTTGGAATGGTGGACGCCCTCCTCCTCCTCCCACTCCCGCTCCACCACCACCAGGTGGGATTTGATGCATTGGACGAGAAGGAGGATGATTACCAGTAGATCGAGGGAAATGATTATTTTGTAACATCATATCATCATTAATATTATTATTCATATTATTATTACTATTAACCATATACGGTGAATTCAATGTTTTATTCGGAGTGATCATGGTAGGCGATTGTTTCAGACAATGAGAGGATTGATTAGTAGGCGACGGTAGTTGTTGTTGTTGTTGTTGCTGTTGCTGATGTGTTGTTGGCAAGGATGGTGCTGCTGATGAAGAGTAATTCGTATTTGTGACAACATTCGACCCCCTCACAGAGCCAGCAGCTTTACGTTTCTTTGTGCTAGGTTTAGTGGAGCCAGAACCACGACCAACCACTGCGGGTTGTTGACTGATTGGAGCGACAGATGCACCGATAGGCGAGGAGGCGGAGGCGGATGAAACAGGCGCATTCATCATTGTCGGCATCATCATCATTTGACCAGAACGACAAACAGCTGATGAGTTATTGCTGGGTGGAATATGATGACCAAGAAAATTTGAATTCTCTATGCCTTGAACTACTGGTGACATTGACAATGGATTTGAGGAATTAAGAGGTGGCCAGTTTTCACCACTTGACACGGAATGATGATATGATCTTTTTTGTCCAGCAGTTGGAGTGATCCCACCACCACCCGCGCCACCAGTGGGCATTTGTTGTTCTGGACCAATTGTTCCCATTGGACCTAATGCTCGACCTGGATCAGGAGGAGGTAAAGATGTTAACGCGTTGGATGGTGGTGGATAGCCTGAATTTACAGGACACATGTTCGAGTTATTCGGTGGAACCATTACAACTGGAGGCCCACCACCAACACCACCACTCTGGTAGGCAGGCGGTTGACAAGTCTGTTGGTGCTGCTGCTGTTGCTGATGATCCATCATCATCATCTGTCCAGACGGTAACATTATTGTCCCAGTCCCAGATCCAGTAGCTGTCATAGACTGTGGTGGAACAGACGGGAGATTCGCATCATTCGAGTCAAAAAATCCCATTTGTCTAGATGCTCCAGGATAACGTAACATCATTCCAGAGGTATCAGTTTTACCTCGTTGATAATCAGAACATAATCTATCCCATTCTTGTTGAGCTGATTCACTGTTCATAGATGATCCAACGACAACACCTTGACGAGACATCATACTGTTGTAGTTTTCTGTGTCGAATGGACGTGTTCCACCGCCGAGGGAATCAGGATATGGGGATGTATTGTTAATCGCTGGATTGGAGAGAAATTCAAAGGAGAAATAAGAAAGTGCCAAGGATGGAGTAAAATAAATCCTAAACATATATATATATATATACATAACGTAACTAAACCCTGTTCCAACTATTTCAATTGGGCCAAACGGACTAACTGTGATACCGAAATCTTTCCTCGATTTTCTACCAAAGCAGGATAAGAATTGCTGGTTATAAAGGTTTCAGATATGTGTACTGACATTTTGAGGATACTAAACACATATGCTAACAAACAGAACAGCAGGGAATAAACATTTCAAAAAGGCAACAGACTTCCAAAGGGGGCCCTTACTCCCCATCGCAATTCTTCACTTCTTCTGCAAATGAAATTTTTGAAATAAAATATATACAGAAGCACGGATACAAACGTTCTGGTTCCAAAAATGTGTCCATTGAGGCATCTAATATGAAAATGACATAAAGTTTCGCCGTCAAAGACGGGGAGGGGTGGAGGCGGTTCAATACTGGAATAATTATCAACCATGTACTCAGGAGAACTGGATTCGGTTTCCAACTGATGAACAATCCTTGAACCTCATCTAGTTTACTAATCAGTAAACTCAGGGGGAAAAAGAAGATTCAGCGTGACGTTAGCAACCGCACCAACAACAACGCCGCTACTGACACTTCAAAATATTAGGACTTGTAGGCCTAAAGAAATGGAAAAATAATAAGTTCGCCAAACAGGGAGTATTAGACTGCTGGATTTCGTCCCTATTTGGGTCTCTTCAGACTCATATATCATTATTCAATTCAGCCACTGCCAGACTTCGCGATATATATATTAGCATTACCTTCACCAACCAGCCAGTGTCATCGGCTAGTATTTGTTCTCCCACATCAACCACATGGTGGCGGACCCCGCCGCCGCTTCTAGTAGAACTTTAGACAAATTCATCTCTTCTTGAGAGTCCCTAGTAAGCATTACGTCAGTTTTCAAGTATTGATTCGCAACAATATGATATACTCAACCTAAATGAAACCTTCTGAAATTTACCTGAGTTTGAAAACAAGAGAACACATTCAACAAACAGGAAGATGAAACTCACCTGATGACGGTGGAATACCTAATCCAATTGGTGGTGGTTGTTGTTGCTGCTGCATGGAATTACGCATTAATCGCTGTTGTTGTTGCTGCTGTTGCTGTTGTTGAAGTACAGCTCCAGCTGTTGCCGCTGCGATAGCACCAGGCGTAGAAGCACTTTTACTCTTACTCAATGTTGAATGAATTTTTTCCAATTGAGCAATTTTACTTTTACGATTTTCCCATTGTTCTTGAGTCAACGGTGGCATACCAACGCCGCCGCCACCGCCAATAACTCCAGCAGCGATAGCATCTGATGGTGGAATACCAATCATAGGAGATACTAAAGCAGTAGCAGGACCTCCTCCTCCTCCTCCGCCTGCTCCTAGACATTGTTTTGGCGCAGGCAATGGATAATCCATTCCACCACCGCTGCATGGACTTGTATCTTGTTGACTGCTACCGATAGACATTTGACGAAATTGACCAGAGTTAGACATTTTCGAGAGATTTGGATTGATGCCTTCAGCTGGAGATGATAGTTTTGCAGCAACACCAGTAGTAGAAGCAGTAGTAGTAGTAATATGAGTATCTTGTTGTTGTTGTTTCGAGGTGAGATTCCCGGGAATTTGATTCTGTTGTTGTGTTGACTGGTGACATGTTGGTGAATAGGAGAGATAATTATTACTATTAGGTTGTGTAACGGTAACTGTAGGCGTAGTAGTAGTGTCATCGATTCCCCCTGTATTGTTAGGTCGTACATATGAAGATGGTTGTGTAGAAATTGAAACGGGATCATTGCTTGTCGGTGGGGGTGGTAATTTACATTCACCTGTAAATTTACAAATAAAATACAAATAAATAAATAGGATAGAATTATGATATCACAGTATGCTATTTAAGCCCCTCAAACGATTGTCTGTTTTCGACATAGAACTTTGCACCGATGTGCAACAGTTCAAGTCGCCATACTCCATGTAACACACAAAGAAAGAGAACAAAGTAGAAGATATGCATATTAGAGACAGTAAACAGAGGTATGAGACAAAGGAATAGTAATAACGAAGAACAAAACAGTTTCATTGGAAATCATAAGTCACAAGGAGTGGATGCATCTGCGCCCGCCATTGAGAACGATCACTTTGAACCATATCACCAATTGTTTCCAGCCATTGGTTTTAACCGTCCCGAGGACCCCAACCAGTCAGGAAGTCTACACCATCCTACGTGACTGGCTTAAACTAACTGTTGTGCATTTCGTTGACTGGTGAAACCATGTTTCCGTTTGACCACCACTGGCTCTTTCCCAGCCTGACCCTATGTAAGCTAACATTGCCTGTTGTCGAGGGAGGCAATGACTAGGCATACGTAACACATGTCCTAACCATCTCAGTCGATGTAGCTTCACAGCCTCGTGGATTGATTTCCCCTCCTTACCTAGCACTTGACAGATGCCTAACCTCAATATTGCTCACTCTATTATACCACTTCACACGGTTGGTTGGTTTCAACATAGAGAACAACTCTCTTCACAGATGTGCACCACACTTCAAGTTGCCACTCTCCCTTCATGTACCACACAAAGCAACAGAAGACAGTAAAAAGAGACGTTCAAAAGATGGATAACAAACACAAGTGTAAGTGATGGAAAAAGAATAGTAATATGGAAGAACAATAGAATTTTATTGCATATGATAAATCACAGAGTGAATGTATCTGCAACCACTTTGGGTCATATCACCTCCCACTGTCTCCTGATGACCCCAACCAATCAGTCAGTATATACCTCCCTACATGGATTCCATTGACTCATGAAGCAATGTTTTCATTTGACCACCACAATCAGCCCTAGCTCTTCTCCAACCTCATCCATCCTATGTCAATCAGCTAACATTAACCGTCGAGGAAGACGATCAATGGTTCAGCATGCACAACACATGCCCTAACCATCTCAATCGACGTGGCTTCACAACCTCATCGACTCACTTTCTCTCCTTAACTAATACTCCACACTGAAGGCTATCCTCAATATCAATCACCACCTAACATACACGGGAGATAGAATGCAGACAGACACCTATGATCAAAGACAGCCAACCTTTCAATAACCATATCGTCTCACAGATAAGCAGTACACACCACACGTCCTTTTGTCGATTGCCAGTCAGCCAGCCAGTCAGTCATCCGGATATCACATCTAACTAAGCCAAAGATGGTGTAAGTAGTCGGCAGGCGAATGCCAAATGAGACTTCATCAGCGGTCAACCCATTGGCATTGGCTGATGATAGCAACATTGCCAGAGAGCACCCACGTCTCAATGTCTCAATAACCTGTTGAAGTGCTCTATTTATTTATTTAAACGCAGAAAATCTTGGTACAATATGGCACCGAGAAAGATGCGCCACACAATAATAATAAAACAACATAGATTAAAAGTAAAAATATAAGTAGAAAACGGATAAAGAACTTCATCTGGAAGGAAAACAGTCATGTTTAACAAGTTCAAAAAGTATTCGTTAACTATCATCAGGGAGGGAAGAAAGAAGGAAATTGCAACACGTTCGCCATTGATTACGATTCTTGACCATATCCGATAACGTTTCGAGCTATCTCGCGGAACCCAACCAGGGAGTCATGACGCACCAACCGATGCTAATCTAGCACAAATATCCTTCATCCCACGACGCCACGTCATGGGCTGACCACCCCTCCGCCTTTTCCATCCCGTCCCAGGGCTAGCGAACACAGACCTGTACGGAAGCCTCTGGGATGACATTTGCAGCACATGTCCAAGCCACCGGAGCTGGTGTTTCCAGATGACGACACTCAATGAATGGTGATCTCCACTGTGTTCAAACACACGCCACCGAACCTCGGAATTACTCACGCGATGATGCCATCGAACGCAAGCAATCCTGCGGAGACAGCGATGATCGAACACGCAGAGTCGCCGCACATCCTCAGCTCGGAGAGGCCAGGTTTCACAGGCGTAGAGCAGCGCAGCTCGCACCGAAGCATTGTATACCCGACCTTTGACAGCCAGGCTAACATCGCGACGGCGCCAGAGGTGGCACAAGTTGATGTATGCCACCCTAGCCTTCATTATACGGTTGGAAATCTCATCCGTCACCCCTCCGCCAGCACTCACACAACTACCCAGGTACACAAACTTATCAAGAACTTCAAGCGGTTCACCCGCAAGAGTGAGTGCAGGTACAGGCTCCTGCCAATCTTGTAACAGTACTTTGCACTTAGACGGTGCAAAGCAAAGTGCTCTAATGTTCGTTTAGCATTTTAGGCTTTATAAACTCACGCATATTCTAATTAATCTAGTACCACAGACTGTTGAAAAGTAATACACAACTACACTAGCATTCATTAAATATCTAGCTACCTAGCTAGCTAACTGGTAATCACATTTTGTGCTAGTAGAAAGGAATGTGAGAGTGTATGCACAAATATATGCATATATATATATATATATATATATATATATATATAGAGAGAGAGAGAGAGAGAGAGAGATGGTGTTACCATTAAATACATAGAGCCCACACCAACCCACCCACCAACACACATACATTTGTGTTGTACTTTATATTCATCACTCGAGAACCTATCTACCTACTTAAGTAATAATAAATCGTTTAGCAACACAGTGAAACCAAAAAATAATGATAAAGGCTTATTAATGTGAAGGAAAGAAAGAAGAAAGAAAGAGTGAGTGAAAGCGTAAAGACACTACTACTACTACTACTATTATGAAACTATTAGCCACATGATCTGTGTGTGAGTGTGTGTGTTTATCAATCGATTATTTCACAATTATATACACCACAATGAATGAATGGAATGGATGGATGAAAGGCATGAATGATTTCATGAAATTGGTTAATAATCAGTTAGTTACCTAGTTACTTAGTTTATGATTTCACATAAACATATATACTTTATTTTTTTTAATGTATAACTAATAATCTCTATAAAAATGAGAAAAATATTCGTTACAGGATTACATCATGAGCTGACATCGGAGGATCTGGACTTCGCCGATGATAAATGTCTGATTCCCCACAAACTGGAAGATATGCAAGCGCAAACCAACAAGTTATCGATAGAAGAAGCATCAAAGATAGGACTTCAGGTGAACATAGAGAAAACAGATATAATGAAGATTCCTGGACATGAACAACAACAATAGACAACGATCAGCATAAATGGGAGGAACCTGAAAGAAACAACCTCCCTTACCTACCTACAGGCGGAACTGACGAGGATATCAAAGCAAGAATCGGAAAAGCAAGACGAGCTTTCACCACTCTCAAGTCTGTGTGGAGCACATCAATAACACTCAGCATGCAAATGAAAATAAGATCCGGATTTTCAACTCCAATGTGAAGTCAGTGCTACTCACTATACGGATCAGAGACTTGCACTGCGCGTCATAAAGAGCATCTCAAACAAACTACAGACCTTCATTGACTGCTGTCTTCGCTCAATACTCAAGATCAGATGGCTAGAAAAGATCAGCAATAGTGAGAGATCACTGGGAGCAAGTCAACTAGGAACCGATTGTGCAACAAATAAGCAGGAAGAAATGGAAGTGGACTGGCTGGCCATACTCTGAGGAAACCATCAAGTGACATCACTAGACAAGCCATTGCTCGAGTGGAACCCGAAAGAGAAGCGGCGAGTTGGTCGTCAGTGCAAGGGTGACTTGGAGGAGGTCATGTGAAGAGATGAAAGCATGTGGACAGACTTGGAACCAGATAAAGACTCTAGCAGAGAACCGAACGCAATGGAGACACACGGCTGAAGCCCTATGTTCCTTTAGGAATTAAAGGAAACAATAATAATAATGACATCGGTTAGTGAACCATTGGAAAACCTGTAAGGGAGTACTGGACAGCCAGCTGTTTCGTCCTTCTGTGAGACTCTTCATCAGTACATACCCACCACAACTAGGGTTCGAACCCAGGAGCTTCTGGTTACTCACTAGGCGAGTGAATTCGTAGACCCTTAAGCTACTGGAACCCCCCAAATCAATGACCAGCCCATGAATTCCAACTTCTGCCAGCTGCACACACAGCTCATGATGAAATCCTATAACCCAACCAATCAAATGCCTACAAATCAATAATTGAATAAAATATTCGTTTTAAATGGTGTAGAAATAGACTATATATCATCATCATAAACGGAAATACGAACGAGGTCACATCTTTCACTTCAGGGGGATGACGCGAATGAGAGAATGTCAGAGTCAGGCTGGACAATATTCAGAGAGGAAAGATAACACATCTAATAATCTGAAATCAGTGTCAATTCAATCAGTAATTTTCTATATATATACATGGTTCACAGAAATAGTGTGCACATCACGATAACTACTTCCAGAGGGCTGTTGTAAACTTCCACCGACAGTAACACAAGGAATTCCAACAATGCAATGAACCGACCAAGAACTAACTGCCCAATGGATATGTAGGAGGAAATGGAGATAAATCGGGTACACACATACACACACACTGAGGGGACTGTTAAGTGACATCACGCATCAGACAGTGACACCCTCAAGTGGAATCCCGACGGTAAGCAACGAGTTGAGCCTGTCTCCGAGGATGATATGGAGGAGGAGATAAAAGAGCCTATGGAAAATCGTAGAGCTAGCGCCAAAGAGGACTTCAGAGAACAGGGTGGAGTGGAGAAGTGCTGTTGAAGCCCTATGTTCCACTCGGAACCCAAGAGAATAATAATAACGATAATAATATTTATTAAATATTTGTCTATCTAACCGATCCAATCAACTCCGAAAAAGGATGTTTATATAT